CCCTGAAGTGGCTGTGCTGGGGAGAGCATGTGCAAAGGCCTCAGAGCAGAGCCGAGAGATGCCCGGGGAGCCCCAGCTGTGGCAGCCCCTGGGCCAGGCAGCAGGCCTGTGAGTGTGGAGGCCTTAGGGGTGACCAGCCGCTGTGGGACTGCAAGCTCACGAGAGACCCCCAGCCAGAATTGCCCAGTCGAGCAGCCCCCAGATTCCTAACTCTTAGAAACTGAGAAAGATAATAAACTAATACTGTAGTTTTAAGCTAAGTTTTGGGGTGCTTTGTTGTTCAGGAATAGGTCCGATTCAAGCTGGGAGGAAGCATGAGGACTAATTTCCAGCAGGCCTCCTGATGTGCCGTGGAGACTGTCCGTGTAGAAGAAAGAGCACAGTGGACGGGAGTGTATAGCTCAGTGGCAGAGCGTGTACTTAGCATGCACAAAGTCTGGGTTCAATTCCCAGTACCTCCATTAAAATATAAATAAATAAAATAAAGTCTTAAAGGAAGAAGAAGGAAGAGCAGAGCAAGGATTCGCACTGTCTCCTCACCCTTGACCCAGGAATCTAAGCATTTTGTCCTTCATACTCACGTGTCCTCTCCCAGCCTATCTGTCTCAGGGACCTTATCGTGCCAGTGTCCATTCCTGACTTCCTTTCTCTTCCCTGCTCCCCCACCACTTCCTCCCAGAGCAACCCGTCTTAGTCTTCGTATTTCCTCTCTGCCCCACCCCCCGCCCTGGGAGCGCCCAGAGGATCCCGGCCCCGCAGTGCGTGGGGGCCAGACTGAGAGACCTTTCTCACTCTTGTCTATTGGGCTGTGGACTTGAGGCCCTTGGGTCCAGACAGGACTCTTCCCCTCTTCTTCCTGGAACTGGCACCTCCCATGACTCTGACCAAGAACTGGAATGGGAGCTACCGCCTTCTTACAGACCACTCCCCCCACCTTGCCTGCTGTAGACCTGCCAGGAGAGAGCCCTTTCTGGAAGGTTCCAACTTGGGAGCACAGGGAGAGCGTGCTGACTGCAGCTCCCCTCTGTGTGTGGAGGAAATCAGGCTGCAGGTGACGAGGGTCAGCCCAGCCGACAGGAAAAGAGGGACTAAAGACCAAGACGGAAAGTCTGAAGCTCCCCTTGTTCCTGTCACCTGTCTTCTGAGCCCCACCTGCATCCACCCCCTCCCATGATGGGGGTGGAGGTGGGACCCAAGCTAGCACAGACCTCTTCTTGCCTGTTTGAGCTGGAGTCAGGAAAGTGTAGGCGGCACCACATGGCTGAGTTTTCATCCGAACTTGCCAAGCTGTGTGACCTTGGGCAGGCTACTCAGTGACTTTATGTGTAAAATGGGGACACTAATCATTCCTTCCTCCTAGAGTTGTTGACAGGAAAAGCAGATAAGGTACAGACAGGGCCTGGGGACAGTAAATGCTGTATAGTGTTACCTGTTTTGACTTTTACTTGAGTTGGATTTTTTGTCACGTCAGCTGGAGGAGTCTTGATCAAGACAAAAACCTTCCCTACTTGCCTCTGGGTTAAACTGTTCCCAGGCACCCATATGTCCCAGGAGCAGGAAATTGCCAAGCCACGGGGGTGTGCCAGGAAATGTCAATCAAGTATTTGCTGTGGTGCCTGCCATCCGCTGCTGAACCGGCCTGCTCCCACGCCGGGACAGGGTGAAGTCGGCATGGCCCCTCTCCCTGCCCTTTGACCTACTCAGGCTGTTTACCAGCTTCTTCCCTCTGGTTTGGAAATGAGCCCCCTCCTTCCTGGGTGTTTGCCTGGGTTGCAGCCTGGCCCTGCCTGGGTATCTGCACCTACAGAAACCAGATGTGAAGTTGGCTTGTGGAGGAGTGGGCAGAAAACACCGTCTCTCAGGGTGTTTGTTCCAGTTTCTTTCTAATTCTGTCAGCTTATCTGGTTACTTGCCTTGATTAAATATTTGTGCTCACCACCACCCAGAGAACTGAATTATGTGAGTGAGGGGATTTCTGGGGAGAGAGAATGAAAGGAAACTCAATTCAGTGGGGATTTTCTACTGCATGCACATCATTGTATGGACAGGTTGGAACTGAGGGAGATCCTCATGAAGGCGGGGCTAATCCACAACTCCCTGTCGGATGACCTTCCTTTACTCCCAGCCTTGCCTCTGCCACCTCCTCTGACTTCCAGGGATGGGGCTGGGGGCTCTCTGCTGGGCTTGGGGCCTGCTGGGAGGCCAGGTCGTGGAGCAAGTCCAAATGAGGGGCAAATGCCAAGGCTGGAGTGGTGAACCCAGGAGAAGGGCTGGACCGTTGTGCTCAAATCCGAATCGTGGCCTGGGAGCTCTGGGCCAGCCCAGGGTAGATCTGAATTGAAAGAGCAGAGCAGGGTCTGAGTTTCAATGTGTGGTATAGAGATGGAGTAAGGGCTGACAGGCTAAACCAAGAGCCAGGCCAAGGGATCCCAGCAGAAGAGGCTGTCCAGGCAGCCTGGCCTCTCCTTGAAATATTCTGGAATGCAGAGCTCACAGAGACACTTGATTTTCTAAGAAACAGTCCTTGGGATAATAGCATCAAAAGCCAATCTTTTGCCATGCCAGTGGGGAGAAGGGGACTCATGCTCTGCTTTGCTGTTTCACTGATGCTCAGGGAAGGACAGGGCTGTCTATAGGGATCTGAACGCTCTTGTGGGCTATAGGCCCAGGCTGGGACTGGGGCAGGGTTTGGCATTTACTTAGCAGGCTCCAAAATCTGGCTCATAACCAGAAGGAGGGTGAAATGAGTGAAGGCCACTTTGCTCTGCTTGCTGTCTTCAGTCAGATATTTGGTTTGGGCTAGTTTATCTTGATGGTCCCTTTCATCATTCATTCATTCATCATGAATCATGATAATTCAGTCATCACTCACTCACTCAATATTTCTTAAGCTCCTTAAGCAAAGCACTGTGCTGGGCGCAAAACTTCCATTCCTAAGAGCTTTACATGCATCATGGATTCTCTCACTTAACTCTCAGTTCAGTTCTATAAGATAGGGATGCAGTTCTGTTCTGACGGTCTGTGAGTCTATGTGGTCACTAATTTATCCAAGGAAAGGCTTCTTGTGTGCCCACTATGTGCCAGGCATTGTTCCAGGTGCTGAGAACAGGACCAAGTCCCCACTCCCGTTGGGGAGAGATACAATTCGCAGGGAAACCATACGTACATGAGACCATTTCAAGCAGTGTAAAGTGCTCTAAAGAAAGCAACAAGGACCGTGCTGGCAGGCGAGCGGGTGGGTGGTGGCTGATGACAACCGTATCTCCTGTACCTCTATGTGTCTTCCTGGAAGAGTAAGAAGGAGGCTAGAACCCCGGGCCTCTGCTAAGTGGAACTTGCGGGCTAGTCAAAGTATGAACTGGGCCAGGAGCTGCGAGATCCCATTTATGCTGCTCCACCAAGGTGGTGACAGGTTATGATTTATCACAATAATTCCGTGAAGCGTGAAGCACTTGGCTGGTTCTGGAAGCTAGCAGGTGTCACAAGAGCTTATGCCACAAAAAGTGTGTATTGTGGGTCAGTTTGGGATCATAACTCCTTCCAAATATGTTTAGGTGACTTTTTAAAACATTTGTTTTAGTTTTTAAAGGGCAAGATATACATACAATACTTGATTTGAAAGATATTAAACAGTATACGTTGTGAAGTAAGTCTCCCTCTGGCCCCAGGCCCGCGCACCTCAGTCCGCTCCCCAGTCTAGGTTCAGGTAAGCTCGAGGGGTCTGCATGGCTCCCGTGCTGGTCCATGGGCTTCTTACACACCTGCATGTGGACTGGTACTCCTCAAAACTGACAGCCCTTGACCCTCCCTTTCTGCTCCCTGGAGAGAAGGCCCAGGGGAGAACCCCAGAAGCCTTTGTGAGGCTGTTAGAGGGAGGAACAGAAGCAGGTCCTGTCTAAATGCGGGCAGATCCCGGCACGGCTGAGAGCATGGGTCTGGAGCCAGCGGACCTGGGCACAAATCCTGGCTCTGCCTCTTTCTAGATGAATGGCTTGGGCAAGTGAAGGAACCCCCTCGAGCCCAGGCTCCTCCTTTGTAAGCTGGGAATAATCACTACTCCACTGAGACCTTGTGAGGATTACATGAGCTACTGCAGGTAGGCATTTGGCCCCATACCTGGCACACAGCTGAGTGGCAAAAAGGGGCTGCTGCAATTGTCATGGAGTGGGTTCCGGGCACCCCCTGAGCCCACATTTGTATGCAAACTCGGGTCAAGGGTGCTCTCATTAGGGTGTGGAAGTCATAGGTCACCTGCAATGCATGTGCCTGTGTGTGTGTGTGCTGGGGGTGGAAGTTGGAAGCTAATTCGACTGATTTCACTTTGGATTCTAACTGGAGTCCTGCTGCCCACCCACTGTCTGAGCGTGTGCTTGTGTTTGGCATCTCTGGGCCTCAACTTCCTCATCTAGTCGATGACAGGATTGGTCTTGGTCATCTTTAGGCACCTCCAGCCCCAAGAGTCAGGAGTCTGCTCAGGAGGGTAAGCTGGCTATGTGCCCTCACAGCTCTGGCCTTCAGGGACAGAATCTGGGCTAGAAGGAGCCTTGCCTGCTGGCATGAGCCGTGTTGGGGCCTGACTGCCTTCCCCACGTTCTCTGTCTCCTGAGTTTCCTGTAACCCTTTCCTTTCCCCTACTCGGTTCCCGGGGACAGGTCTACATTCCCTAGGCCCTTGCTTAGCCTGGGGAGGGTTCCGAGAGCTCGAGCAAGGCCCAGCTCCGAAGGAAGTTGAGTCGGGTGTGGGGACTCACACTCACGAGTGGCAGGAACCAACATGCCTTGCTGGCCCCCGTGGGCGGCTGGGACAAAAGCCACTGCTGCAAACCACTGACTGTACCTGTCATCCTGGAGCTGGGCCCCAGGCCGCCGTTGTCAAGAACAGGGCGAGTTGCTATGAAAATAAACCCTCTGCAGCTGGCAGCTGTGGGACGCTGGCCCAGCTGTGCTCACAGGCAACGTGCAGACCTGAACTCCTGTTTGACGGAGTTTGCGTTCATCCAGGCGGTGAAGAGGAAACTTCCTGGCAGGCACAGAAACCTCCGCGTTCCCTCCGGGAGAAGGAGCCCTGCAGGCAACGACCTATTTCAGCTGCGGGATGGGATGCCTTTGGAAAGAGCCTTATTGTGACTTCTCCTGCAGTAAGAGATTCGCTGGGGGATCTGGGAACACGCTCTGTACAGAGCAAAGGACTGAATTGTTCTTCCATAATTTCCACGTACAAATGAGAGTTCAGAAAGCCAGGCGGCACTTCAGGGGCATGTCCTCTGTGCTGTGGCCATTCTGTGCTCATGCCTCGTTTCCTCACGTAGACGGGAAGCCACAGACGGCAGGAAGCCAAAACAACCCGTACCTCCTGGTAGCTACCTTCCCCCACCCCACCCCAACCCCTGCCCTCCCAGCTCAGGCCACTTGCCTGACTCATAGTCCAGGCCTCACTAAAAGATGCAGATAAATGTTTGTTGTTAGGGACGATGGTGAAGCTGGAACATGACCCGTGGCCATGTAGAAGGCTGAGCTTCTCCAGAGAAATGGGAGCAGGAGCCTCCTGTCTGTCCCTCTGCACCCCCACACTCCCCCAGGGACCAGACACTGCTGACCGTGCATCTGCCTACACCCCCAGTCCCCAAACCCTTGAGAAGACCCAGTGAAGCGTGCCTGCCTGGGCTTTGGCTGCAGGGTCTCCCTGCATCCCCCTCACTGGGCCACGCTGTGCATCCTGTGCTGCTGAAATCTGAGGGTCCCCCATGAGAGGCACAAAGCCCATCTGGATGTCCTCAGAGATTTCATCTAGTTCTCATCGTTTGGGTCTACTATCCCCCCCTAAGTTTCCTTCTGGGAGACAAGGCCCTTTTGGAAAGGCCTCTCAGAGCTGGCCCTGCTGAGCCGAGGGCAGGGGCTCTCTTGGGAGACTGGCTGCTCTGCCCCTCAGGGCTCCCTCTCCCCTTCTCTCCTTAGAGCCCAGGAGCCTGCCAGCCCCACCAGCCACACGTGGGAAGGAGGGAGGGAAGGGCTTAGGCCATCACGAGATGACTTCTGCCGCCTCCTATCTGTACGATGGACTCCTTGTGTTAGCAGAGGCCTCTCCCACCATTTCCAGGGGTAGGATCTCTTTCTGACATTGTGGTAGTGTGAATAACGGCCCCTCAAAGATGGCGATGTCCAGCTCTCTGGATGCTGGGAATAGGAAACCTCACATGGTCAAAAGGACTTTACAGATGTGATTTAGTTGAGGATCTTGAGATGGGAAACTTGTCGTGGTTTACCTGGTGGGCCCAATGTAATTACAGAGGATCTTGGAAGAGGGACACCGGAGGACAGAGAGGAGAAAAGACGCTTTGCTTCTGGCTTTGAAGATGGAAGAACTGGCCGTGAGCCAAGGAATGCTGGCGCCCTCTGGAACCTGGAAAAAGCAAGGAAACAGATTCTCCTCTTGAGCTTCCGGGAGGAATACAGCTGTGTTGATTTTCGACTTCTGACCTCCAGAACTGTGAAAGAGTACATTTATGTTGTTTAAGACTACTAAATTTGTGGTAATTTGTTACAGCAGCAACTGGAGACGAATATAAACATGAACAAATGTCATGGCTCCTCCTGTGACTTTTTTTTTTAGCATCTATTGACAAATAAAATATATTCAAATGACAAAAGGCCACCTTGAATTCAGTAATGCATGTACAGTTTGCTAACCAGACAGCAGCTACAAAGGTTCAAGAAATAGTATAACTCACACCCAGCTCATTCCAGGTGGGGGATTCATTCACTCATTCACATGTTCTGAACATGACCTCTGACCCAGACTGTCTGGGTTCAAATCTCGGCTCTGTCACGTAAAGCTGTGTGACCTTTGGCACATACCTACTTTATATTATTGGGAGGATTAAATGACTTACTATGCAGAAAGCATTTGGAAAAACGCTCGGCACATTGTAAATGCTATGAAAGTGAGTATTATATTTTTAAAAAATTAAAACATAGGATAGCTGTGAGAGACATTATTTGGTCTTTCAATGGATAATGTATGGATAATTTTTAGTCCTGCTTTACTTCACTGTACTTTTATTTTTTAATAAGTCCCAAGAATACCTAGCCTTGCAGAGAAAACGCAAGTACTCATCTCGAATCAATACAAACACATTGATTCTTTTTCAGTGGGTTCTCAGTCTGATCATGAAGCCTAGTTCCTTAGACAATCATTACTGCCATCAGCCAGAACTGGAAGATGAACCTGACTCCCAGTCCAACTTTTCCTACTAGGACCCTCCACGTAAGACTAGTGTCCCCGGGAGTAGGGAAATAGCTCAGTGGCAGAGCAAATCCTTAGCATGCACGAGGTCCAGATTCAATCCTCAGTACCCTCACTGAAAAAAAAAAAAAAAAGAAAGACTGGGTCCCAAAACACTGAGGGAGGAACAGAAAGTACAGGTGCCTGCAGAATGGCCACTTACCTCTCCTTTGTTCAGGTACGAGGCAGTGATATGCCCGGCCCTGGGGGGTGGGGGGTGGCCGTGAGTCATGACTGGGTTAAGCCTGTTAATGGTAATCCTTTGCCGACTGGCTGGGCTTTGTGAACAGTTCTAGCCAATTAGACATGAGTAAAAGTTCAATGGTGGATCTCTAGGAGTTTTTCTTTCCTCATAAAAAGGAAAATTTTAGTTATGGTTCAGTCAGAAAGACAGACACCACTCAGGTAGTTCAAGCAGGAAGGGGTTTAATATAGGGACTTAAGTGGTTACACAACTGCTGAAAGGGCTGGAGGAACGAAAGTAAAGGCAAACCAGCCTGAGTTCCCAGGTTGGCTGCTAGCTCTCAGAGTCAGGAAGCTCTAAGAACCAGAGGAGACGTGATCACAGCTGTCTGCAGACCATGGCATATGATTTTCAGGCAAATTCCTAGAGGCCACTGCAAAATCTCATGGGAGTTCTTCTCATCC